GTATCTTCTTTTCAGGGACTCAATGGCTGCTCCATAATTGTCTCCGGTGGCAGGGAAAGCACTAATTATTGATCGTGGCTCTGATTTGGCTTCTGTGGCTTGGATCAAGTATTGGAACTTGTCGCTATCATGAAGGTCACCATCATTGTGAATCTTCTCGAACTGGCTCCACCATCCTAACCAATTCTTCAGATCGCCATCAAACTTCGGTATTTCAATTTTTTCGGCAGCTTGAAAGTCTTCTTCTTGCTTTCACCACTTGCTGACGAGAACACTGATGCATATTCTGCAACACTACACTCACTTCGTGGCCGTGATAAACACATCTCAATTCTGGTCTTCGCACGGTTCACCTTGTCTCGATATTCGTCAATCTGGTTAACTTCACTTTGATAATCTTCAGTGGTACAGTTTTCATCCAACATTGACGCCAATATCTTCACATCTAGATCGTCGATATCCGATGAATGTCGCTCCAATCGTCGACACAGAGTTTGCAGGTCCACCATCCCGGGCGCCTCCTTTGACGACTCGGTCTCGATCTCGTTCGCCGTCCTGGTAATGGCCGCTCTTATCGGTGTCCTGCTCTTTCTTAGCCGCTCCATGGTTTTTCAGGAACGTGCAATTCAACAAAGGAAAAACAATTAGTAAATGAACGAACAGATCTCTACACTGAACGCTCTCCACCTCAATAACTCCTGAATGCTCAGGATGTGGCCCTCAACGAGGCAATACAATTTAATAATTCCTCCTTGATAGGTCCAACTCTCGTCTTCCTTCCTCACGGGTCTGGCAGGCGGGATCTCCCTCTCCTCCTCTCCGATACTTGGACAAGAACAACGAATTCACAAAATATCACCTGGTAATCCCCCGAACACTCAGGGTGGAGTCCTCAAAGAGGCAAAACTTCTTCTTCCAGGTGTTATTCTTCCTCCTCCAAGGGCTCGAACTTGACCACGATCACGTCGAGGTCACCAAAATGTGAGATCGCGACGCTTCACTCACTGGGATCATCCAGTGTCAACTACCCGTTGACAAGAGATCGCCGTATTTTGACTGTGCCGTGGAATAGTCCGAATCACGAGGAGAGAATAACTAAACTTTAATTCGAATCTGCTGACTTTAAAATAAACCCTTTAACTCAAAACTAGGGACTTTTATCTTTAGCAACAGGTTTATTAACAATCACACTTTAGTTCATTTAAACACGAACATTAATTATTTAGATTTTCTAATGATTATTATACAAAATTAAGAGCCCACTTTACTTTCTAAAAATGGCTACTCTCTACTTGACATCTACTTACACACTAAAAACCTTACTTCACAAGGCCAACGCGCCCCTCTTCTTCTCATGCTCCCGCTTGCACTTACTTTTTTATCCGCATCCCCAACCCACTCAAACTAAAGAATACTTGCATGCAAAAAATGCCTACATACAAAGAATTCATACATGCGGATTTCACAATGTACGTACCATCACTTTCCCGTAACTCCTATCTCATCTTTCCTCACCTGAAAGAAGTAAGAAAAAAGTTGTTCTCGCCAGCAGAAACGTCAGCCAGCAGATTACATATTTTCTGCCACTGGGAAGGCTTCATTAACATAAACAAAGGATATGTAATAATGCTTCTCCTCCTCGTATGATTTATATCGTCGATGAGAAAACAATTAAAAATTCCGCTTAATTGGTGAAAGATTAGAAATTGATATGTACTTAGAAACTTTTCCCCTCGCTTTAAATTCCTATTATGAAATGAGGCAAGTACTGGAATCAGAGAAATTTAGGTACATACGTAGATCGACATGCAAGTAATGTTATTAGAAAGCTATAAGACTGTCAGTGTTTCGGGTGCAAGTAACCACGTGCAAGAAATAACGGGTAGAAAGTGGGTTCTTGCAGATATTTTGACCTGCAAGAAATGCACGGCGCAAGAAACAACGATGCACGGCGCAAGAAACAACGTCGCTATATTTCTTGCACTTTATTGCAGTTTCTTGCACCTCGCATTTCTTCCTTTTCTTGCTTCCCAGTGCAAGAAATGTATCAAAACCCTCAAGAAACGAAACACTGGTCCCTGTGTCAACTATGTACATACTCTTCTATTTATCACAACATGTATCACATTTTTTCCATATTACCAGAAATCCTGTAAAAAAAATCAACTTATTACAAAAGGCGTTAGGACATGGTTTTGACGAATTCATGCCTTAATTGCGGGATGGATTTTAGTCGTAGAGATTTCTAACTTTTTTTATCTGAAAGCCCATGTCTCAAACTATAGGTAAGCATATCTGGCTTCCGATTTTGTGTACTCTGCGAAATGAGGCAAGGTCAAATTTGGAGAGGTGTCCTTTTTTAGTTTTCCAAACCAGTGTTCTTATAAAATGGCGTTGAACAAAATATTTTTTTCTGAGGTCCTGATGCAAAAATAGTTTTTGCGACTATTTTTAAGGGACTTAGCATGCTTTTCACTATATAAAACCACTTTTGCCTCATGCTTATCTTTTAAGTCCGTTTTACAGTCTAATTTCATACTTGTCCTAATGAAATGGGCTCTTTAACGCAACTCTTCCACTTTTAAGGCCCCCACATTTTACGACTTTGATGCTAAAAATCCCTAACGTGGTTTTTATCCAAGGTACATATAGTATATTGCACTGTAAGTACTTTTGACAAAATTTTGATAAGTGGTTACACCCCACGGACTGAGTTTTCATCAGACCTTATAAACTTTTTGGAAAAGTTCCCGTCGTTTTCGATGTCGAACTTCAGAAATAATTTAACTAACCAAAACGCAATAATTTTATTATTTTGTCACATGTACCTTGTAGATAAAATAGTTCTGCAGCAGGGGACACCAAAAGATTATTAAAATTTATTTTCGAAAAATTTGACCATTAATTTTCCAAATAAGTTCACGAGTTTTTTAGGATTCTGCGACAGCTGATTAGCTCGGGTCCTTCTATAAAACTGTTTACACAAAATCTTGACTGTTTGTTTTAATATTACTTAGGACACTTCCAGCTTTACCTCAAGCTGCATTTGACCCGAGTGGGTCAACTTTCAAGGTCAGCAGGTTAATTTTTCCGCGCACGGTCTGATTTATCATTTTTTGGACAAACTATCCGCGATGATGGAAGGCCCACGTTGTGTGATTCATTACGGATTCTTTTATTATTACATGCAATGATTATCTAGGGTTATTATATTAACAATCATTCACCTCTGACCTCTTTGGTTATCATGCTATATAAGCAATTAAGTTTGGAAAGTGTTTTTTGGCTTCTACCAACTCCGGGGGCACTGTAGGGTGCATTTGTGAAGCTATCACCCTAAAATTTTAAAGATATCTTTTTGAGAGTATTATCTTGCAACCTACCAAAAATCAGTCCAAAATTCAACTCCCCGCCAAAGATATTCACCCGAGAATTCGTCAAAACCATCACCTAACGCCTTTTGTACCCCTGGGACGATTTATATACATATATTCCACGTTCAGTGTCTGGATTTCATCATGAATTGAGATGTTTCAGCGAGATAGATTCATGTCACGGGATACATACATAAAAGTCCACCCTGCCTTTCTACACGGAGACAAAGAACGAGTCCAACACAATGACCATGCCACGCAAGACCAATTGCATCTTGGGTTTAATTGTTGCCATTGATCTCCACCAAACCAAGCCCGTCCTGCTGCCTACTTTACTTCCACCATTAATTCGCACTCGCACAAAGGTAAAGGAACCACGTTTTAAGTCAACTACCGTATAATAATTTCCTTTAAAAGTCTTTATTTGCTTAGTCCACACAATGCATGAACCTTTTTTCTGGGCGTAAAATACTATTACCCAAAATGCAAAATTATTCCTAATTGTTTAAATAATCTTCTTGACGAACAAGTTTCAAAAATTCAATTCAACAACAACTAACCACCTCCATTGCCTGCTACCTACAGCAAAGATAAATAATTGGACAGGACATGACATCGAATGATGAGCAGGGTGGTAAATATTAATGAACAGACAAGATGTTTCCCATAATAATAATGGCGATGATGCCGATTGTTGTGGTATTGGTTTTGCCTTTGTGGTTTGCCCAATTACTCGTCACTTTCCGTCTACCTGACTTTTTAACCAAGCTGAGCTGAGAATAATGAGGTAAGTTTTTTTTAGTTTTGGCAGTTATTGCCGGCTCAAAGAAAGGACGGATGGATGGATGAGGAGAGTTACATACTTATGTATCTCTAAATGTTCAACATTTATGGTTATGACATGTTCAGAATAATTTATTAACATTCGCACTTACCACGGAACAATGGACGTTTCATTAGGAAAAATGTCAATTTTAGTTGAAAACCTTGTCTTCTTAACACAACATTTAAAATTGAGACATTTTCTCAGTCTAATGTGTTTCTGCACGAAAGGAGAAGCTCTGAAGCCGACATGGAGTGGATGGAATGCATGTCATAAGAATATTTCAGCGTGTGAATGTCAAACACTCATTTCATTAAGATAGATTTTATCAAAAACCAAAATGTATCAAAATGCAGGATTTCGACTACTTAACGGACCAATGCTACCTGAAAAATGTAATTAATTAATCCATCGAAAGGATTAAATCCCGGTCCTGCTTTTTTAAGAAATATTAACAGCGTATCCATTACTTTGTACAATTACAATTTTTCCCAAAGGTCTGATTATATTTCTATCTAATTCTAGCACCCATAATTTTTTCATAACTTCAAATAACGAACATTGGCGTTTTCACTATTCAAAACACACCAAAATCTCTAGTTTTAATATTAAATACTAAATAAAAAATTAAGACGAATTACTTTAAAGTTTTTCATGTCCTGGCGATTATAAATGTTCAACTAAATATGGAATATGGATAAGCTGATTCAATAAACCTACTATCTTCAGTCCTGTGCATTAATAATTTTCCCAACTTTTGCACTAATTAACTAATTATAACAAGATTTTAAACAATCCCTTACCTCTCTTCTTCCTCCCTCGCTCCTCCACTCCAAATCCCAACGTTCTGAACCCTTTCCACTTCCTCGCTTCCTTCTGCTCGTGACCTTTCGCCCTCTCCTCGTCACGCCGAGCTTTCTCATACTCTTGAAAATGTGTGGCCTTCTTCAACTGCCAGTTTTCACCCAGCGAAAAACTCGTCTTCCTGTCAACCCCCTTATTTCCCCTTCTCTTCAAGGCCTTCAACGACTTCCCCCCAGTCCCCCCACCACTTTTCTCCTCACTCTTATTATTCCTCGACCGGACCTTGTTCAAATACTTTTCCAGTTCTTGACTTTGTTTGTACCGACAGAAAAAATCCGGCCGTTGGATCCCATTCTGGACGAGGAAGGAATCCCAATTTTTCAAACTTTCCTGCAGTTCTATCACCCTGTTCAAAATCTCCTTTTCCGGACGGTCCACTATTTTCACTTGATCGGACGACGTCGAAGAAGACGAAGATGACCAAGAAGAGTTGTCGTCATCATCATCCTCGTCATCCAGATAAGACAAACAACAACTATTACTGCACGTATAGGAACTCAAACTATTCGAAGACGACTTGTCCTCGGAGGAAATCGCATCAAAAATCGAAACGGATTTGTTCGAACTCTCCGAAAATTGGAGTTCAGCCTCAACATTTTCCAGCGAGAGGGATAACGATAAACCGTCCACATCATTGAGGCCGGAGTCACTTTTTGGGTAAGAAGTTACTACACTCGGGGTAATATTAGTGCCACTCCCACTCCCCTCGTAGTATCCATCCGGGGGGATTACTTTCATAGGACGGATCTGAACCCGGCTTCCCCCCGAGGCCGAGCTGGTGGTCTCTTTCTCCGTCGAAATCCCCGAGTCTGGCGAGGCCTTCGTTAACTGAACACATTTCGAGGTGGGGTTATTACTATTATTATTAGTCACCGACTTTTTCCTTGGGGTGAAACCACTCCCCTTCAAGGAACGGAGGGGTCGAGGAACTTTCGTGCACGACGAGAGGGCCGATGGGTGCGGACGTCGCTTCAGTTTTGGACTCATGGCTCAAAATTAAGCAAGAAAATTACCTAAACTTTTTAACTGTGTTAAGGACATTTTTTAAAATTGTGGATATTTTTAAATTGTGCTTGGACGGTACTGTTTGAGGACATTTTTTACTCGAGTTTATTCTAATTGAAAATTTTGTATATTTATTTTCACTTTCAATCCCCATAAGTCATTCAGTTAGTCACAGTCAGCTCACTCAGCTCACCACAAACTGCCACAATTTGCTGACAAGAGAATTAATATAAATCTAATCCGCGTATTTGATCCCTATTTTATTTATCACTATCTATCTACATATCTCGCACTGCTTTAATGTTGCATAATATTTACCTCGGGACCGGTTAGGATGGACGTTTTATTTCTTTCCCATTACTACTCGAGCATGTTTCTAATACTCACAGCTTATTAGCACCGCTTCGTTGGGCTTACTTTAACATTTCTCAACGCTCTTCTAGCTCTTCTTTTGCATTAGCAAAATTTCAATAAAGTTGTACCGTCATCGTACACACACTTTTTGCAGCTTCCTCACTTCCACTAAATGAGGAGATGAGTGGAATAATTGCATCTAACCAACTTGGGAGCTATTTTTATTGAGTAGTCTTTAAATTTCAATCGTAGAGTATAAAAGAGCCCGAGTTCAATTCACCAGATCTTCTTCTTGACTTGACGGGTGAAGAGCATTCCAAAAAGAATTCACAACATCCCTATTTTGGTTTTTTTTATCCCTTCTCGAGTGCATACGGATGCTACAAAGTTGTGCAATCTCATCTCTTCATTTGTCCGATTGAAAGGTGTCTTATTTTCATCGGTGTATAGTCGTAATTTGCCAAAAAAATCCAGGTGATGATGATGGGTAAACCCGAATGATACGTATTTTGTTACAATTATTATTTCAGAGCAACACCTTGTACACAAAATTTGGCACTTTTTGACAGGAAAACATTATTTATATGGTACCGTACACCCCCATTATTTTCGCTTTTGTTCCTCCTTCCCAACGACCAGACCAAATTGTCTCCACACAATTTTCCCTGCACAAAAACACAAGAGCATTCTCGAGACAATTTGTGACACAGCACTTCATCCGAAAAAAAAGAGCTGCATGTGAAACAAAACACGGCCAACAATCGAGTCCCACTCGTCACATTATTGTCGAGTCCCACTCGTCACATTATTGTCTGTCTCAAAACGGAGTTTGTATTGTCCTCCTTCCGGTATCCCACCAAACCACTATGTATTAATACCTGGGAAGACAAGTGTCGATAAGTGATGACACAGTTTGAAAACGTTTTTTTATTCAATTAGTTGTGACGCTTCATCAATATGTTTTCAGACTTTTTGTTCCCTTTAATTGAATTCCTTGCAAAACTTTTCAAGTTCACTTTAATACCATGCATAAATGGAGGTCTCCCGGCGTATGCAATCCTATTTTGAGCAAATTAGTGCGAATCCATCACAACTTTAATTAGGATGAAATTTCTAAAAAACGCGATCTCCATTCAATGGTCACTTTTGGCCAAGATAAATATTTGCATCCGAAGAAAACGCGCTCTAAAGTTGACAAATTTTGAAATTTCGAAATTTACTGCGAGTTTTCTCCTCTTCTGATGCAAATATCTCTGCCAAACGTGCCAATTTGCATATCTTATCTTTCGCAAATTTCATCCTAATCCGAAGAAAACGCGCTCTAAAGTTGACAAATTTTGCAATTTCCAAATTTACTGCGCGTTTTCTCCTCTTCTGATTCAAATATCTCAGCCATTGGAGATCGTATCCTTTACAAATATCATCCTAATTAAATTTATTATATTATCAATTCGCACTAATTTACCCAAAATCAGATCACATACACCGGGACACCTCCATCGTTACTTTTGTTAAATCGACTGCAATTCCTGAATAGTCAACTCACCAGAAAATGCTCCTAACTAGAATCCACGTACGTAGATAGATCGCTAAACCTGCCAGCAACAACTGTCGAACGACAATTCCTTCTTCTTTAAGAGACAAACCCAAACTGTGAATGTCAACCCTTTCAACTCTTCTGCAAGTAAAATATAAAGTCGTCGTCGTCGAGGCATTGTGCTTCGCCTGAGATGAGACCAACCACACCACTCACTCCAGTTTACTTTTTATGGCTTGTTTCTCATTTAATGTCAAAATTGGGAGGACGAGCTCTAGTCGAATTAATGACTGACATGCAGGATGCGAGGAGACAATCACAAGAATTATAAGACAAAGAGGTGAACTCGCTCATTTGCCATTCATAAGTTCGTTGTTGTGTCTGTCAACTTTTTAATATATTACGAAACATTACACAACAATATGTTAAACTTGAGACTTGTTTATGATAGTTGGTTTGTGGTTTCTTTGCTTTGTTTCTGGTCTCGTTCGGCGTCCTAATGCGAAAATAATGAATGGTGCTACCTCTCTTTCTTTGGGGGATAACAAGGCCTAATCCCCTGATATTTTTATAAACGAAATTTTTGTAAAGTGGGGTACAAAATTTCTCAGGGATTTAACAATTGAGGTCTCCCAGCGTATGCGATCCAATTTTGAACAAATTAGTGTCACTCGATCACTAATTTGATAGGAATTAAATTCGTAAAAGACACGATCTCCCAATGGGCACGGAGACATTTGCATCCGAAGAGGAAAAAAACACGCAATAAATTTGGAAAGTGTAAAAATTGTCAACTTTAAGACGTATTTTTCCCTCCTTCATTTTGTTACGTCATTTATATTGTTTAACGCCTTTAAATTATTGCAGGTAGATCTGATATATTAGTTTGCGAGGTAGATGAATTGGATGTATAATTTGGTACACTAGGTAAAAAACTTCAAGCTAGGGACTACACTTCAGGCCATTTTTACAAAAAGTAACCCCTTACTCATACAATTCTTAACCCGTCTGTGTCAGAATTCATAAACATTTCACTTTCCCAATTTACTTGGCATTTTCTCCTACTCGGAGACCAACATCTCTGCCAAACGTGCCCATGCGGAGATCGTGCCTTTCGCATATTTCATCCTAATTAAATTTGTGATCGGTTCAAGCTAATTTGACCAAAATCGGGCAGCATACGCTGGGAGACCTCCATCGTTAGTTATGTAAAAGTTATTAGGTTTTTATTCTAAAATAATTCATGACACGAATTTACAACATCAGAAATAAAGTAGCTTTATTTTTCTAAATATTGAAGAACAATATACACATTATATAAGAGAGCAGTCTATGTAAATATGCATAGGAAATAAGAGGCAGGAAAAGTCAGGTAGCAGAAGTTAGTGGTCAGCCTGCAAAGAGCTGACATTTGACAGAGATGCATATTACAGACAGATTCCCTTAAATTATGATAATCTCGATGATTCTCGTCCGACGGAGACGGGAAGTTCAACTCCTCAGTTACATAAGCAAAACTGGATTTTACGCGATTTTTATGCGACAGGGATTACATGCATGCACCCATTTCATAAATATTTTTGTCACCCGAGTACACTAGTTTGCCACACATTATTAAATCATAAATATTATGCTACTTAAAAATCCAGTTCAACAACTTATTATTCCTTCAACTTTCTTCATTTAAATAATTCAGAGGTGGGCAAAATTCTTGGTCAAAATACAGTATTTTGAGCTCCGTTCTTCCCAGGGTTTGGATTTTCATGGCTGGAAAACCCATAAAAAGACGAAAAACTACGTAGAAAAGACAACAGTCACACAATATTGTGTTTTGGCCGCGATAAATATAAAGTTTCTTCAACAAACCTGTATTTTCGTACGACTGTTGCGTTGTCCGCGTAGATTTTCGTCTTTTTGTGGGTGTAACAGCCCCGGAAATCCAAACCCTGGGAAGAACAGAGCTCAAAATACTCCATTTTGACTCAGTATTTTGCCCACCTCTAGTTAAATATTAACCTTAAATCTAATTTGTCTCTCAATTATTCTTTAATATAATTTACAAATTGAACTCTTGGAATAATAATGGCTGCTTTCCTTCTTTCTACGGGGAGGAAAAATGCACTTGGGCCGTCTCAACTTTCCACTTTACTCCTAATTTTCTCTCGTCCCCTTCATTGTCACTGCTGTTTTCTCGAATTGTGACGTTATCTTCTTCCACATTTTGGAGCGTTCTTGTGGGGTCATCCATGCCCACGTAGATCGTGTCCGAACCGCTGCTGGTCGTGTCCACGATGGTGATTTCCCCGTTGAAAAAGGCAACGTCAAAGATTTCCTTGTTCCTCGCAGAAACCCCGTCCTCGCTGTGGTAGAAGGAAATGGCTTCGAATTCCGGGGTGTGTGCTTCCACCATCAGTCTGTTTATATAATTGTACATTAATTGGGATCAGATTTACATATCAATTTCGATTTTTTATCAGAGGTGGATATGCATTTATTTCAAAATATTTCCATTTTATGACAACCCGCTGTCAAACTTGGGCGTGTGTTGTCTAATTTTCATACATACATCACATAAAGACATTGATCGAATTTCATGAGCAACTTTAGAGCCAAAATAAATGATATCTGCAAAATGTCCCATTTCTGAAATGTGTTTTAAAATTTTCTGCACATTCTGACGATTGAATTTAACTTTAAACAAAAAATGGGACATTTTGCAGTCATCACTTATTTTAGGGCTAACCACCACCACTTTTGCCATACTATCCCATGCATTTTAATTTATTGCATTGTGCATCGTTGTTAGAGGTAACTAAACGGAGTTGTATTTTCATATTTCTGCATTATTATTATTTGAAAATAAAAAAAAAACTCGATCGATCTTTCCACAAATCCTGCTGATTTTTTTTCAATCATGCCACACATTACCTGTTTTTTGGAGGACTGTCACAGACGGATTAAGTCAAATCAGAAACGCCATCGACTTGGAGCTCCTGCACTTTGGCCCTTGTACAGTCGACTTTTTGAAATATTTGTAAATCTTGTTAAATATTTTTAGGTTTTCAGACAATGTGTATATATTTCTGCCCAGGGTTGTTAAAGAGACAGTAACTTGATAAGGGGTTGCGCAACGTGGGCGATTTTTTAAAAATAATTAAAAAATTAAATTTTGAAAAAAATTAATCACTAAGCTAAATCACTAAGTAAATTTGAGGGGAAACTCAATTAAATCTCACCGTACAACTTTGCATAGCCCGATTCAGGAATTATCAGTATATGTACACATACAAATACACCAGCACAATTTAATACCGTTTTTTATGTACATACATTATAAAAACACTCCATATTATTTTAAATCGATAAAAATTTGAATTCCAACAATACTAAAACATAAGGATAATATAGGATAGGATTATTTTATCGTGACGACAGACGGACAAACAGTTACCAGAATAAGCCACAAAATAAAAATTTTGTATGGAAAACCTAACAACCAATCAGGAGCTGGTGGTCCGGACCACCAGCTTTTTCAAAATTTAAAAAATCGAAAAAAGTGCTCACGTTGCGCAACCCCTTATCAAATTACTCTGTCTCTTTAACAACCCTGATTTCTGCCATTTCTTGAAAAATACGTAAACATTTTGGACGTTTTTTTTCAAAAATACGTATTTAAATATTTCGTAGATTTTTTTTCCTTGTCAAAGAAATTGGACTTCAACAAATACAGAACATCAAACTCAAAAATATCATAATTTTTCGAAAATTCTTATTTTTGTTTCTTTTTTTGTGCATAGATATTTTGTCGTTTTTCCATAAATACTAAATAAATTTTTCACCTATTTTTCGTAAATACATATCCGCCCTCTGTTCTATCACCTTTGACTTAAATACCTTTCTAAAATCTGGAGAAAACTCGGTCTCTGTTCTTTCACGTAGTTGAAACAGTCCTGAGCGATCCTTAGAATGAGGGGTGGACTCGTCTCCGGCATTTCTAAAGTTTGTCTGCTGCACACAAATTGTTTCACTTGCAGATTCTGTGCAAAAAAGATTAAGCAAAATTTTAACCCGTTGCCAATTTATCTATCTACATATTGCAATTTATAATACATACATTAAACTGATGATACGGGACTGCGCCAAGGGACGCGATTTCATAGAGAAGCACGCCATAGGACCACACGTCCGACTTGTACGTTATCAAGTTGTCCAGAAAGCACTCGGGCGCCATCCACCTGAAGGGGAAGCGTCCCCTGCTGTGCAATCTGTAGTAATCGCACATCTCCTTGCTCAACCCGAAGTCGCCCACTTTCACGCGCAGATTCCCGTCCACCATGCAATTCCGCGCGGCCAGGTCGCGGTGAACGTAGCCGCGCGTGTGAATGTACGCCATCCCATCCGCCACCGAAGCCGCGATGGATAAGAGGAATGCCTAAAATAAAAGTATATGTTGCAAAAAACTAAGAATAGAGGTGTCTCATCGTACGCTCTCCGATTTTGAGCAAATTAGTGTCAATCCATCAAAAATTTAATAAGTACATATGAAATTTGCTAAAGACGCGATCTCCGAATGGGCACATTTGGCCGAGATATTTGCCTCCGAGGAGGAGAAAACGCGCAGTAAATTTGGAAAGGGTAAAATTTGTCAACTTTTAGGACGGGTTTCTCCACCTTCATTTTGTTATTTAATTTTCTATTGTTTAACGCCTTTTAAATTATTTTAAACAGATGTGATATATTAGTTTGCAAGTTAGATGAAAACGGATCAAATCAGAATCAAGTGATGCTTTGGTACACTTGCTAAAAATTTTGGATAAAAGTTCGTCATTTTTATAAAAGTGACCCCTGGCTAATTCAATTTTTAATTCGTCTGTTGGGTCCGAAATAAATAAAATCCATTAATTTAGTTAGGGTGAAATTTACAAAAGATTTTGACCAAATTCAATAGTGAAAATTGATCACAAATTTGATTAATTCAATTCAATTTACCTTTATTCAAGTGTTAGTCACATTCAGTCGATTAATGAAATTTGAGATAGACACGATCTCCCAATGGTCACGTTTGGCAGAAATATTTGCCTCCAAAGAGGAAAAAAATGCCCTCTAAAGTCCACAAGTTTTACCCTTTCGAAATGCACTTTAAATTTTCCCCTCTTTGGATTCAAATACCTGTCCGCATTGGGAGATCGTCTTTGACAAAAATAGATTTTGTTTATTTCACACACAGACGGATTGAAAATGAAATAAAAAAAGCTTTACTTTTATAAAATTGACCCGAATTTCGCCAAGTATGCCAAATTACAAAGTTTCCCCTGTTCCATCTACATAACTTGCCACCCAGTATATTAAATTTATTTAAAATAATTTAGACGGCGATAAACCGTAAAAATTCAATCGTTCTCAAAATGAAGGTGGAGAAAGCGCGTCGTAAAGTTGGCAGATTTTGCACTTTGCAAATTTACTGAACATTTTCTCCTCTTCGGATACAAATTTAATTAGCATTAAATTTGTGATAGACCATAGTTTGCTCAAAATCGGATCGTATCCGCCGGGAGACCTCCCTATTCTTAGATAACTCAAATTATGTACACCCATCCCCATACCGGCGTGAGACGACCCTGCGACCCATCACCCTCTCCCGTCGTTAACAGCGGATCGCTCGAATTTCCCCCCTCCCCCTCCCCCCCACAACTCGAATTCGGCCTCATCGAAATCAAATACGACCTCAAATCCTTAAACGGCATGTATTCCATCACCACCAGAATGGGATGCAGAAGCGACACGATCCCCAACAATTTGATCACGTGGGGACAATCCAGCCTCGTCATGAGTAGCGCTTCCTTCAGCAAGTCCGCCTTGTCCAGCGACGGCGTGTCCTCGTTCAGCTCCTTCACCGCGCAGGGAATCTCCACCTTGACAGAGCTCTTTAATTAGCCACATTTCTAATTAATTAGTAATTGATAATTAGAAGGACAATATTTTGTCTAATTAATTGGGAATTAGTAATTAAGCTCAGGTTGCTAATTCAGCCAATTAATTAGCTAATTAATTAAAACATTGACCAATTGATTGGTGACTTTTAATTAATTAGTAATTACAATTAGCTTCGGTAGTACTACTTAAGGTTAATTAATAATTAATAATTAGTTTAATTATGCTATTTAATTAGAAAATTAATTAATAAGCTCTGCACCTTTGTCAGTTTCGTCTTGCTCTTCGACCACCCCGACGACGACGAGCCCCCCGACCCCCCCTCGAGCGCCACTTTTTTCTTCCACACCCCCAAAAACACGGTGCCGAAGGACCCCGTTCCCAAAATCTCGTCCCTCTTCACTTCCAAGTTCTCTCGGGGGATCTCCCACTTTCTCGGGATGTGCACGATCGGCGTGTATTCCGGGTTCAGGGAGACGAACAGCTTTTTCCGGTCTCTTCTTCGTTTCGCACGTTGGTGCATGAACACAAAATTTACGCCAAGTCCGGTCACAAAAAAGATGAGGAGGAGGCCGAGAAAGTAAAGCCAGGTCGGATTTTGAAGGGAGGACTGGCTCGACGCGGCCTGTTTAGAATAAGGTTTTAATTGATAAAAAAATTGTCTAGGACAGTAGGAAAAAGTGTTATTTATTAACGATTTTTTGTAAATCTACGCCCAGATATGGTGTGCGTAATATCACGAAAATCTAAATATCACTATTTACTTGCAAATATACATCGTTAATTTCGATACGACAACCAAACCAATCCAGGCTGCGTGGGAATCTAAATTATAAAAATCATTACCAAATTATGAAAATTTTTACATATAGGATTTAAAGTGAGACAAATTTTGAAAATAAGAACAAACTTTTGTTTTGACATGTTTTCTTATGAAAAATTAAGAAATTTTCAAAACCATGTCGTATCGTATTACAGACCAAAATTCAAAATCAATATGAGATTACATGTAATTTTACGTCACCCGGATTATCGAAAAATTCAATAAAAACGTGGAACATTTGCCCATTTTCTATTTTGGGCGTCCAAAACTCGGTGTGGTTAAAACCAGTTTTGGAGGGTGGTTAAAACCAGAATGTAACGCTGGTTAATTTGAGCTCTTATTATCGCGAGGAACAAATCTGATGGGTACCTTATTTATTACCTGTTTGGCTATGATGTCCTCCACCAGGACGAAGACGGGGTTGGAAGGGGGCGAAATTCCAGACTTGGATTTCGTCTGGATCCGCACGCTATAATTTCCCCCGGCGTACAAAGGTTCCGGGTGAATGTAGGAGTCCCCCTGGAGCAGAAAAGCGTCCCGAGAGATGCAGTACTTTTGCCCCTTGAAGGTGATGATGTACGCGAGAATAGCCCCGTTGGGGGAGGAGGGCTCGTCCCAGCTCAGGTGCAGGGTAGAGTTCACCATCGCGTGGGTTATGTTCTGCACGAGGTCGGCGCTTGGCGAGGGCGCGGTCCGAATCAGGTTTTCGCGAGGATCGGAACAAATACCTAAATTTAATTGGTACAGTTTTAAAAATGTGAAAATAGCTAACAATTTTTTTCCTAATTAATATATGTTGGACTCGTTGACCCATCGCCAAAATAGTTAAAATCAGTACATTTTTCACCTCTTTTTTAAAATTCTGGACGAAAAATTAGTGTAGCAAGTCGTTCCCATTAAAAAAAATACCCTCCAGATTTTGACACTTTTTGAAGGAACAGATTTCAATCTCAACAAGCATTCAGAAAATTTTAAACTGGTCGAAACTGGCTCATCGTCATTCCATTAAATCAATTCACTGACTACAAATTCGTCATCAAGATTTTAAAAATAAATTTCCTAAAATTTCCTAAAATCTACGTACCTTTTCTACAAGTTTGCACCACGATGTGGTAGTTCGTATAATGTTTCAAGTTTTTGAACTGATGGGTGTACGAAATAGCGGATGCGTTAAAGTACTCAATCACTTCTTCAATCACTTTGTACTGGTCGGCCAAGTTTCGAACCGTGGGGTCAGAAATGTTGCCAAAGTTTGTCAACGTGTCACGTTTTCTTCTCGATCGAATTCTTCCTCCTTCGTCCCCGACGTCGTGGTCATTCGGTCCGCTGGCGAAGGGTGGGCTGATCCCGACGCCCGTGAACAAATGGTTCCCCAGAATCACGTGGAGCATTTCGGATTCTTGTATTCCATAACTTTTACTATCGCTGTCCTCTGAAAAAATTGGCACATGCAAAAATTATTGCATTTTCAATTACCTACATAACTTCTGTCATTATGTAGCAGAGGGCGGATATGCATTTACAAATATCGCTGAAATATGTATTTAAATATTTATAAAAAAAACCCAAAATATTTACGAAACATGTACAAAAACATCAAAATAAATTTCCACAAAATTTGAATTTCTGAATTTAATCCTCTGCATTTTTTGTGGTCCAATTTTTTCGAGCAAAAAAATCGCCTCACTTTGAAACGAATTGCGGAATCACACGCGTAAATTCCCAGAATTTTGGAAAAGGATGGCGTCGAAAAAAAATAATTTTTAGCAGGAGCAATTTAATTATTACATTAGATATGAATTTTCTATTTTTTTCTGAAGTTTTTCCGTTATTATTTGAAAAATACGTAATCCCATCGATTATCGTTAAGAAACATATCCAAAATAAATGTATTTTTGAAAAAGTATGCAAAGGATTTACGGATTTTTTTTCATGTAATATCAGAAATACTTATGTCTGAAAACTTAGAAATATATATGGAAATATTTTGAAATTTTAGTAATCTATGCGAGTTATGACCGTCGATGCTCATCATATAAAAAACTTGAAACAAATACATATCCACCCTCTCCTCATGCTTATCATCCCACATATTTACCCCCATATTCCCTATTCTTCGTATGGCTTATCGGTCTCAACGTCGTAGAAAACTGCGGACTTATCAGCGGTCTTCGCGCCGCCGAAGGTGGCGTCGAACTTCCTCCACTTTTTCCCGACCCCGATTCCGACTCACAATATCCCGACAGATCCGTCGGCAGACTTTCCGTTGCGCCCAGATGGGTCCCACCACCACCCTTCGTCCCATTCGGCTCCACCCTAATTCCTAGTGAGATCTTGAAATAAGTCACGTTCGTCCGTGGCCCGTTCGTCCGGAGGGGCGGCGTCCACGTGACAGAGATCGTGTCCGGACTTTGACTCTGCAACGTTAAGTCGGCCGGACTCTCGGGCACGCCGTAGACCGTTTTCACGTAAATGATGCTCGACTCCGCGCCCGTGTTGTTGTTCGAGGCGTACAACGAGGCCGGAAGGACGACGGCTTTGATGTAAAAGGCGTAATTCGTGTAGGACAAGAGGTGACAAATCGTCACCGGATTTTCCTGGGCAGGCTGTCCATCAAACTTTACGATTACTTTTTTGAGTTAAATAATTAGTTGATAAATTTCTGTAAGTTTTACTCTTTCGTGCGGTTTGGCCCCGTTCGCATCGCGGAGGGGGGACACGTCCATAATGTTCCAGCCGTCTTGGCCGCAAGGGTCGCGGAAGGCGAGCTTGGTCTCGTCCCGGGAGGAGGACGTCACTTTGTAGTGGATCTCGTAGTTCAGAAGGTAACTCGGCTCGGTCAGGTTGAGGCGGAAGTTCTCCCACTGCAAGGTCACGCAGGTCGAGTTCACTTTGGGACGGCGGACCTTCAGCTCTTTCGTGTTGCCTGGAATAATTCGTGTAAATGTAAATTTGCATGCAAAACTTCGTGTAAATTTTCCTCCTAATAGCGTTGGACTCGATGACTCTACGTCAAAATCATCACATTTTTAATCGTTTCTGGCCTCTGGGAATTTATTTTAAAATTCTGGACGGCAAATTTGTAGAGCAGGTCGTTCCCAATTTAAAAAATATACCTTCCAGATTTTGACATTTTTTGGAGATTTCAAGGTTAAGAATCCTTCCGAAAAATAAGAACTCATCGAAACTGGGTTCAAAAAATCATCCATTCCATCAATTAACGCACTATCTACAAATTAGTGTTCCAGAATTTTAAAATAAATTCCCAGAGCGGAGAAATGCTTAAAAATGAGCTGATTTTAATGATAAGTTCTACTTTAATTTGGATAGCTATTAGAAGTTGGAATTATAATTACAGTTGACTTTGTCCCCATTCGTGATTCCAATGTCCATCGGATTCTTGCTCAGATTCGCGTTAACTCCAGAACTTGAGAGAAACTTGTAAATCTTGTCGGGACAGAGTTGAGGATTGTAATGAAACATAATTCTCGCTTCCGGGTTCGCAATTTCGACACGCTTCTCCTGACTCCACAAAGCCTTCATGTTCTCGTTCGATTTTATGACGAGGGCGTGGCTGCAAAAAAAGAAGGGACCACGTGTGTAAAGGACGCTTCATCTTATCAGTCGCGGCGGAAGTTGGGGGCCATGAAATGTGGGGGCATTAACATTGTGAGACAGGAAGAGGAAGGGCTTATTAATATGGGCAAGATAGGATTTTTATGAATTTCTGGGGGAAATGTCCCCCTGTCCCCCTGCTTCCGCCGCCACTGCATGTGACGTATTACCTGTTGTCCGACAAGACTTTTCCCCCGATGACCCTGAGCGATTCGAGAAAGTCGAGCGAGTAGAGTGCGTACGTGTGGGAGACGAGGAGATAATCGTCAATTATCTCAATCTGGCCAAGGTTATCTTTCAGCAGTGATACCAGAGTGCCCGAAGGGTCGCTGCTCGTGCTGTGACTTCTGCGTAAAATTAATCATCAAAATCAATACATTTTTAATCATTTCACCGCTCTGGGAATTTATTTTAAAATTCTGAAATTAGAAAAATTTGCAGTCAGTAAGTTGATTAATGGAATAATGATGAGTTTTTTAAGCCAGTTTCGACGAGTTCCAATTTTTCTGAAGGCTTCTCAAACTTGAGATCTTCTCCTTCAAAAAGTGTCAAAATCTGGAGTGTATATTTTTAGAAAATTGAGAACGACCTGCTCTACAAACTTGTCGGAGAATTTTAAAATAAATTCCCAGAGGCGAGAAATTATCAAAAATATGCTGGTTTACACAATTTTGGGGATGGCACATACGTAAATCACGCTTAGAATTATGCCAATTTCCTACCTGAAGTGGATCTTGAGATATCCCACTTGTCCCCCCACCCTGGTGCACCCACTGTACCGTCGCATGGCTTCGATCGTGTCCACCGTGCCCCCCTCGCAGACCTTGTGACACCTTCCACCCTCGCAGGGCACGCACACCGAGCCGTCCCTGCTTTGCTGCGAGCCCAGCGGACAGTCCAGCACGCAGAGGTCACGGTCACCCTTGTAAATCTTTCCGCGCAGGATTTCCTGTGGGTTCGTGGGATGGTTGTTGGGCGCCGTGGAGGAAATGTTCAAACATTCAGTCCGCGTTAGGCAGCGTCTCTCCAAATACTGGACATAAAGTGGTACGACAAATATGTAATCGACATTTATGTATGAAAAGACATACTTTTATGTAACTTGGCAATTATGCGCAAATTTTTATTTAGGTACTCAAATTAGCAAAGTAGCCTTGAATGACTAGAATCTCGACTAAAATTTTTTGACATCCTATAAATTCTAATCTGACACCATCAGTGACACAGTTTTCACTAAAAGATCAGATTCTCTCCCTCATTACAAACCTGATTTTGCTCAAATAAACTCTGATTCCAAATTTGCCATAATTTTTGTCATTATTTTTGGTCATTATTTTTTATCATGATTTTTGGTCATGATTTTCTTATGATTTTTTGTCACTTTGAATTTGCCGTTTTGAAAGAACAAGTATATAAAATCCTTCACTAATTCTGAATTGTTGCATATTTCTTTTTGCATATCTACATATTTGCCAGGTTGCATATTTTTCGGGTTACATTAATGTCGTTTACACAAATTCATATATTCTGCACCCACTCCGAAATACATAGGTCTCAAATTGAACTAAATTGAACAATAATTTCTAAACCGTGGATTTCCATATCAAATTTTTTTTTGCACGTACCTCAAAGTAATTTGGTGGACAGCTCTCTCGACACGTGACTTTCCCCCCACCTTCCACCAACCCCACATTTTTGCACACTTCACAATCACTCGCTTCCGGTCCGTGGCAGGCTCCAGCACACTCAGAATGGCAACACTCCTCGGAAGAGTCTCGTCCAAAACAGTACGTTTCTTCCGAACAGTTGGGACAACTTTGCGTCGCGGACAATTGGCAACGTCCCTCACTCCAGCACAACTGTCTTTTCGCATCCTTCACCGAATATTTGCACCGTTTCGAACAAAAGTTGGAGCACTGTTGGCCATTTTTTCGCACGATTATGTCCCCACTGCTGTTCTTATTCGGACCGGAAATCGCATGCCAGTCGATACTGTCGACAAAGCATAACTTGTCATTCCCCACGATCCACACCCCTCCGTTGAAGATGTGCGTAAGGGAAACGAGCCCCACCTCCACCATGTCTGCGAAAGTTTAGGATTCATGAGCAGAGGGGGGATATGTATGAATTTAAACTCCGTTTCACCTTACATGGTATTACCGCCACACGAAAATAACATGGGATTCTCATGTTCCTTGCCTGTGGCGGTAATACCATGTAAGGTGAAACGGAGTTTAATTTCAACTTTTTCATTTTATGACGGTCAAGCTTTGCGCGTGTGTTCCCTAACTTGTAAAGAGCGCAAAAATTTAAAGATATTTTTGCACATTTTTGCGCATTTCTAGGTTTTCAAACATGCAAATATTTCCCATATTATATATGTCAAAAATGCTTTACATAATTTTTCAAAACTGCACATATTTTGTAAATATTTCAACGACTCGAGACAAATTTTTTCCTGAAAGAAATTCGCCCACAAAAAATCCAGAGCATTATATTCAGAAATCCTAATTTTGTTATTTTTTTCGTGCAAATTTCGTAAACATTTTCGTATTTTTCATAAATATGTATGAAGTACTCATTTCCGCGATTTTTTGCAAATACATATCCGCCCACAGTTCATGCTAGTATGAAAACTTATCTTATATACATATATTTGCATACCAGGCATTTTGCTAATCACGAGTGCATACTTCTCCACGAGTTCTTGTCCCCGGATGACCGACAAAGACGGGAACATGGCCGACAGGGAGACAATATTTTCCGTAAAAAACACCATCAAAAACCCCGTAATTTCCTTCAGCTCAGGAAATCTTAGGCTAGAAAAGGTCGCACTGTCCACATCGTTTACAGAATCGAATAAAATATTGATTTGGAGAGATCCCTCAATCACTAGGAATATAAAATCCCACACAATTTTGCAAATCCGCTTTTTACGACGCATCCAAATATGTGGGTCGTTTCAGTGGCCGCGGAAGCGTGGGTGGGGACAGAGGGGCAATGTCCGCATAACCCCATAATCTCCCCATATTATACAAACCCCTCCCTCCCCTATCCCACAATGTTAATGTCCCCACACCTTTCCGCGGCCACTGGGTCACTTATTACCTGTACACCCACGAAGAAACTGTTCAAACTGGTGCCAATGCCAGATAGTTATCCGGTCACAGATCTTCGGAACCCGCTGATCTTCCGACGCCTCCTCCCCGGTCACGACGCCAACAGAAGAGAGAAACGCCAAAATGAGAAAACCTCGCATAATTCTGCCTAAAAATTGACCACCTACCCTAATTTAACACACACTTAAATCTAGCTACCTAAAGAAAAAATGTGGATAACAGAGACACGAATTTCCAAAAAATAAGAACCCCTTTTCCAACTCGAATTCCATCTTTTCCAGAAACTTATTTCTCTAAATAAAAATTGTAAATCTGTACCAACAATTGCTCCGCTTACACACAAAATATACAACTAACCTCCCATTTTCCTCAATTATCTGCAATAAATACCTTAACTTTCTTTCTTACTACAATTCCTACTACAAAAGTACAATTACAATTGTACCACAATTTCTCAAATCTACACTAAATCCTCCAAAAAAAATTGTAAATAAGTATCCTAACCTCGCTTAACCACAAAATCTTATGCAATCCGAACAACAAAAATCCCAATTTCCCCAACTACTTATCTACCTCAGTTAGACTCACTACTTTTCTATAAAAGTGATCATGTCTTGATGCAACTGGAATTATGAGAATGGAAATTATCCTCCTAAATAAATACTTCCCCTGTCTGTGGTAAGTAAGATATTATTCTTCCAGCCCTAACAATCCTCTCGCTAACCTAACCTCTCTCGCAATCTTGATAACCTCACCACCAACCCGTTAAATATTTATTAAAGAAGTTATTTAACCCGACACGGAGTCAATGGAACGGAGAAGAACGCAGTCGGAATAATGACACCACGACACGACGGCAGAGAGACAGAGAGACAACGAGAAAAGGAAGTACTTATTATTAACAAGAACGCTCTCCGTCGGTCGGTCGGTGTACGTACGAGGATTTTATTTTACGACCCTACTTGTTATTTTGCTGAAGAGGACCAAAACTGCCATAAAATCTTCATAATAACAACTAAGTTCTTGAATGGATCCTATTTCGCACACAGATTGGCACACCAAATTCCCTATTCGATGTGGATGAGATATATTTCAGCGTAGGTAAATATGAACGACTCGTTCCTTTTCTGCTATTTCAGCTCTTTTATGTCCACTCTCTATTTGCGTGTTGTGCACCCCTTTGCCAATATTTTGCAAAATATCTGCCTGCCTGTCTGCTTTCTAGGTGAGGTATAGTCGTGTTGTGCGTTACCTTCTTTGCAGCAGTATTATTATTATTATTACGTCTGCCTGCCTCTACTTATGTACGTGTGTGCAAAAAGGCTGCTTTATATTTCATTTTATTATTCCCGTCAGTCAGTCAGTACATTTTTGCGCATTAGTTCTTCTTCTCCAACATAATAAACTCGTTGTAAATGGGGTGTTCTTTCTTCGTATTTTTATATATCGTGTTGTGTAATCAGGGCCCGGACCAAGATGATGATAAACCCACGCGTTGCATATTTTATTCTATTTTAAATAAAGTTGGAATTTATTCAAAAATGCATTGGGTGGATGCAGCAGGGATGAGAAGAATGGAGGTTGCACAACGTATGCGATCAGATTTTTGACAAATTAGTGGGAATCGATGGCAAATTTAATTAGGATGAAATTCGCAAAAGACGCGATCTACCAATGGGCACGTTTGGAGGAGATATTTACATTCGAAGAGGAGAAAACGCACAGGAAACTTGGAAAGCGTAAAATTTGACGACTTTGTGGCCCATTTTCTCCTCTTGGGATGCAAATATCTCTGCCAAACGTGCCCATTTGGCAGATTGCGTCCTTCGCAAATTTCATCCTAATTAAATTTGCTATCGATTGAGATTAATTTGCTCAAAATCTGTGCGCATACGCTGGGAGACCTCCATGGCGAGATTTCTTTTTAAAAAATGTGACGACTTGTCAAAAAGGAGATGCATATTTTCTGCCCATATTTTCACGGACCACCCTGGCGCCTACTATTATGCATATGCAGAAGAGGAGAAGAATTGCCAAACCGAAAGCATGCAACAACATGCTCAAGGCAAGAAGGGGAATGGCTGGCTTTAGTGTGGCGTCCATTTGGCAATATGTGCATACATATATGTGTCTTATAGCTTTACGGCGAATTTCTCAGACTCAAAGTGAGAACAACAAGGCAAAAATAGTTCTGATTTATTTACACGGAATAATGAAAGTCGATCCATGCAGGGTTTCGCTTCTTGTAGGTTTGATACATTTCCTGCACTGAAAAGAGAAAAAATGCAGGAAATTCCAGGTACAAGAAATGCAAGGAATGCAAGGTGCAAGAAATGGGAGGTGCAAGAAACTGGGAGAAAGTGCAAGAAATATGCGCCATCCAGCCACGCGCCGTATGAAGTAAAGCAAAAGGTCATAGTTTCTTTCTAGCGCCTTGAATTTCTCCCAGGTCAAAATATTCATCTGCAAGAAACCACTTTCTCCCCCTTATTTCTTCCACGTGGTTACTTCCTTCCACTCGAAACACTGCTCGCATGCATCAAAAAGTACACCAATCTCTCAAGTTATATAAACTCTTTTGTTTCTTCCTATCTTCTGCTTGGTCCACATCTTTCAAACGGATTTATTTATCTCCTTCATCATAGCCACATCAAACGTTACATTATGCATACGAAATGAAGGGCAAGGTTGACGAGTGGAGTGACGTTCGAATCTCGATTTTTAAAAATTTACACATTTACATAATCATGTGTACTACCATTTGGACAAGTTCTAGAACAAAAGATAATTCGAAATCATGCGTTACTTTATTGTTTAAGTGATTCCGTCAATAACACAATTAAGCAAGTTTGCATAATTTGTTGTTGTTCTGTTCTGAACTTCTGACATCTGAATTCGGCTAAAATTGAATTGCCCTTTGATGTTTGGCTACCACTTTTATTTTATTTTTAGGTTTTATTAGGACATTGATCGGTTTTTTGAGGGGTGAGCACATGGCCTTCAATTTGTCGTGATCATAACATTTGTGTAGTTTTTAAAAAAATTATTCTATTATTTTAATCGTTCAAAATTTAGTCAATTATTTAAAATTTGAACTTCAAATAAGTACCTATTGCCCATTAATGCCCATCAGTCCCTACATAAACTTTTGTGCTTAATTATTTACATTTTTCATACACAGTCCATAGTTCAGCGAGTAACTTGTTGGTCTAACTGGTTCCATTGACATTCCACTGTTTACGTTTCAAATGACTTATGTCTACCACTTACCATTAAAGGAAATGAACAACATAAAACAATTATAATGAAGACGGTGATTCACACTTTTACAGTGGCCGCGGAAGCGTGGGGACATCGGGGGACCATTAGCATTGTAGGATAGGGGACGGACACACGTTTACATAACATGAGGATAACCATGGGGCATTGTCCCTCTGTCCCCACCCACGCTTCCGTGGTCACTGCACATTTGCATAATATTATGAAACAGAAATTGCAGGCATTGTTAACAAACACGTGCGTAAACCCTGAATTGTTGACATTATTTTGTAATGAAGCCAATTTATGGATATTTTCGATGAACAAGAAAGATCGTTTAATGCGGCTGAAATTTTTATGGATTTTATAATGGATCAATTTCTACTTAATTGAAAAACATGGAAAGGTTAGGTTCAAGGCTTTCTGGAGAATTTTTAACGTATTTAGCTCAAGTTCAACATATATAACTACTACTGGATTTTATTCCATTTCTGAAGGTTGACGCCAGGAATAAATTTTCCGAAAGTGTTTCATGATGTCAAGAGATTAATAAACTCGGGCAAAACAGATAGAATGAAGTAGCGGAAGCGAAGTAGTTAAAAAACATGCTACAAAATTCTCGATTATGCATTATTTGCTTATCTACGCGTTATACCCGTTTCTGAAATCCTCGTAACTCTACAACAGTCAAAACTAAAATTTCGAATTATATTTTAAAATTAGATATCCGTATCCGACAGCAAAACTAAAAAAAGTTGAGTCTTCGGAAGTTGGACGGGCAAATTGTTCGCAATAAGTAGCTTCTTGGTTCCGCCGCTTAAAAAAACTGCTACAGCTTCCTCGATCATACATATATTTAGTTACTATTCTGGTTATATAGCCTTTTATTATTTCCTGAATGCACTTTTTGTGAGCCGGATTTCTTTACTGAATTTGCAATTGGTAGACAATCTAACTTAATATTAGGATTGATTGCAGCAACCCTAGTAAGATTTTAGGTTTCTTATTAGATTTTACCCAATCAATGGAATGAATTTTAGGAGGATGGGACCCCTATCTTTCATCCCCAGATTTTGATGTCATTTGCATGCATATGTTGCACCTTAAAACCCTGCTGAGGTGGTATAATTCCAGGGCCACATTTGCATCCGCCACACCAACTCAAGGTGATCAAAACACTAAAAAAGCCTGTTTTCGTTGATTTAAACCTTCACCAAAATCCAATTTTGTTCGGATTTTGAAAACTCTTGCGCTATTGTGATCTCAGAGAGTTTCTTGATCATATATGCCTCTGGAATTTTGATGTTTTCGAAGGCCCTCTGGTCAGGAAATTTTGTAAAAGATTGGAAAATTCAAAGGAGTTGAGTTTAAAAAAGCAACTCTCTGGGACTACAATGACGGAAGAATTGCAAAATCTGAGCAAAATTAGATTTCATGCGAGCATTTGAAGATGATTTTGGTAGTTTTGACCGCTTTGATTGAGGGGGCGCAAATGGGGCCATGGAATAAAAACAGTGCAGGATTTTAGCAGACTTGAGCAAGATATCCAAAGCGCATCAAAATCTGGTGAAAGGTAGAGGTCCCGTCCTCCTCAATTTACATTTCACGAATCTGAAGTACATCATGATCAATTATTATTGAAACTAGTAAAAACATTCATTATTAACGAATCAATAAATAGCACTGTATGACTAGAATCCTGACAAAAATTTAAATTCCAATCTGACACAACTTTCACTAAAGATTTCTTGATTATCTTCCTCATTCTTACATTTTACAATCCTGTAACTAGTACGCTTTCATTTTCATTTCAAACTGCTAACATTCTTCCATGTCGTAGGTTTTTTTTGATACGTTAATTGAGCTATCTTCCACACGTGCAATCATCACATTTCATATTAAGTTTGAAGCACTTTTCTTGAAGATGTTCCGTTCTGAATTCTGTAATTTGTATTAAATGAAACCATGTACATCAATTCTGAATCGCCATTACATACAAACATTACTTCCACCCTATATACACACTTACGATAAACATCCTTCCGAACTTGTGATAATTGAACTACTTTTGTCCTCAATAATTCTTCCGATTCTTGCGCCACTTTTAGCAAACTGTTAATTTCTTGCGGATCCGTGATGGCTTTATGTTTTGAAAACTCTTCTCGGATCTTCATCTTGGCACCTGGTTCAATTTTGTTAAACAGAAATTAAAAATTATCCACAAATTTCAACAGTGAAATATATCCTTATACAATTGAATCAATTATTTCAAAGATAAATGGCGAATAACATTTTAACGTAGGACTCGATTCGGTGACTCTTCTTAAAATTACCAAAATCAGCACATTGTTATTAATTTCTTGAGCCTGGGAATATATTTTAAAATTCTGGATGACAAATTTGTAGTAAATAAGTTTATAATAGAATGACGGTGAGTTTTTTAAGCCAGTTTCTTCGAGTTCCAATTTTTATGACGACTTCTTCAACTTGAAACTCAAAATTTGGAGTGTATGTATATTTCAAAATAAAACCGGCAACGACCTGCTCTACAAGAATTTTAATATAAATTCCCAGAGCAGAGAGACGATTAAAAATGTGCTGATCTTGACGATTTTGAAAATGATTCATCGAGTCCTACGATAAGAATTATTTCCATTGATATTTGACCTAATTTTTGATGATTTCATTTTCATACCATCTAGTGCGACACTGTCCCCCACGAAAACCTTGTCCTTTGCTCGATGCAGCTTTTTAAATAGGGATAATACCTTGATAAATAGAAACCAGCAATTAAGAAATATCTCACACTTATCAATCAATTATATCATCTTATCTTATCTTATCAATTTATAAGATTACGAAATTAATTTCGTAATCTTATAAATTGATTTTAAACAACCAAGATCAATTAAAATACTAATCTGTGTTTATTTAAATACCTTTAACCTCGTTCCGCCCGACATAGTAGACGTTGGGGGTAGTAAATTTGTAATTGTTTCCCACTCCAAAATTAGCTATGCAATTAATTAGTTAATTGTTGAAAGAACGAAGAATTATTTATTGTCTGGAGTCGATGAACACGAGCTTCATTCCCGCTAACTCATTTTGCCCTGCCGAGTTTTATCCAACTTTCACCATTCATCTTTCTTTGCTTTCTCTAAGAACGATTTCAAGGACGTTATCCTCATTCCTCCCCCTAAAAAAGTGGTCATCTATTTTTCTTGGCGTCCTCGGAGTGGCGACCAGAGAGACCCCTTTTCCCCGAGTTGAGAGGAGGGAGGAGGAGGACCGAAGAGGGCGGAGTGGGGGAGTTTGACCTCTCACAAATTTTCTCCTCAGTCCTTCTCCAGCGTCCGGTCGAGCCACATCGCTCCTTCAACTTTTTCCGATAAGTCCCCACCACTTCAGGTCTGATAAAGGATTCCCCCGTGGAAATTAACCCTGACAAATTATACCCCAAAAAATAGAATCAATATTTTGAAAATCTTTTTCTATTTTTTTTAGATGATATCCAAAATAATCGCCGAGTCGCAAGGGATCATCCGCGAGAAGAGGACAAAGTTCACCCAAATTCCGTTCAACGATGACGACGCCGACGCCAGTGGCACCCACGACCCCCTCTCAGTTGGATGAGGATCTCTCCCACGTGCAAAATTTATCGTTTGTGTCGTCCCAAAAAATCGACAAGGACAAGGTAAGCGCCCTTTTGAAGAACTTGTGCGGTCTGGACGCCATCCGGGAAAAGAGGATGATGAAGTGGATTAGATACTACATATACATACACATTGCAAAAGACAAAAATTTCCTGCATATTTCATAATTTCATAAGTATCTACTTTTTATTTTACAAAATTCAGAACAAATTAAATTAATAAATTAATCCTTAATTTAATTTAATTCAGAGTTGTGAAATATTAAATTAATAAAGCTTGTTCCAACGGAAAATAAATCAGAATTTGACATGAAAATTAATTCATTACATGATTTTTTTAACCCAGTTTCAAATTTTCCCTTTGCTTACTCCCCATTTTACAGATCACGACCCTACAGCATTCCACGGAGTCCAAAATGGCCATTTTTTTGTTCAAAATTTGTAAGGAGCAAATCCTATCATATATATATATATTCTTGACCAGGGTGACCTAAGGAATGCGCCTAATTTTTTTTGTGAGGTCACACCCCCTGGGGGGCGAACCACCCCCCCTGTGGGGGGAAGTTGAGACTAACCCCTGAATATTGTTAAGCATCTATCGCTGATGTTACCTGCCAAATTTCAGAATTTTAGCTCGCATGGTTCGGGCGGTTCATGCATTTGAAGGTTGTAAAACAGGCGTTTTGGGGCTTTTTCGACCACACCCCCTACCCTAAGTGTGGGACGCATGGGGAAGTGAACTTGGTGCTGTCTGATTTACCCCCTCGAGTACTACATAATCCTACAAAGGTTCCTTGGAATCGAGCGGGATGCTCTAGATATTTCATGCCGAAATCGTCCACCATTTTTTCACCATTTCCCATAACATTATTTGCCTAAGTTTGAAAACTTGCTATGGACGATTTCGGCATGAAATATCTAGAGCATCCCGCTCGATTCCAAGGAACCTTTGTAGGATTATGTAGCACTCAAGGGGGTAAATCAGACAGCACCAAGTTCACTTCCCCATGCGTCCCACTTAGGGTAGGGGGTGTGGTCGAAAAAACCCCAAAACGCCTGTTTTACAACCTTACAAATGCATGAACCGCCCGAACCATGCGAGCTAAAATTCTGAAATTTGGCAGGTAACATCAGCGATAGATGCTTAACAATATTCAGGGGTTAGTCTCAACTTCCCCCCACAGGGGGGGTGGTTCGCCCCCCAGGGGGTGTGACCTCACAAAAAAAATTAGGCGCATTCCTTAGGTCACCCTGGTCAAGAATATATATATATATGATAGGATTTGCTCCTTACAAATTTTGAACAAAAAAATGGCCATTTTGGACTCCGTGCATTCGTCATTTTAGCTGATTATCGGACTCCAAGGACCTCATCAATATTATCGAGAAGTATGCCGTTGAATTCTCTGGATCATCATCATCAGTCCCAAAAGTTTCCCCTTTTCCACATTTTTCTCCCAATTTGAATGCATTTTCGATATCTTATTTTTCGGCATGCAATTTCTTATTAGCTTTGCACTAATTATATATCGACACAATTACCTCCTTAGGATTGCTGATAAGAAAAGATGCCCATCGCCACAGCCTACAAGTATATTTGTGCTGTTATGCTGTCAGAGATGCGTTATTTAAATAATGCTTAAATAACGCTTGGAAATTATTTATTGTTTATTATTTAAAAATAAATGAGTGTCGATAATTATTTATTATTTATTATTTAAAACTAAATAATTGCTGATGATTATTTATTATTTATTATTTAAATAATTTCCAATTGACGGTTTTTCTATTATTTAAATAATAGCATTATTTAAATAATTTATCAGTGCAAAAATTGTCGTAATGTTAACAAAAATGCACCTTAATTGAATTTTTTGAAAAAATAAGATTAAAATTGATGCATTAAACGCTAAATCGAGGAGATTTCGCCTTATTATATTTGGTACTCGTTTTGTTGTTTCAGGGAATTCCGCATTAACTGCATCTTCTCAATAATAACTAATTATTTAAATTTTAAATAATTATTTAAATAATTTAATTATTTAATTATTTAACTCTAAATAACCCATAGTCTTATTTATTATTTATTATTTAAATGAAATTAAAAATTTTGTGGTTATTTAGTATTTATTAATTAAATAATTTTGGGAACGAAAATTAATTATTATTTATTATTTAAATCATTTATTAATTATTTAACGCAACTCTGTATGCTGATGATCAATATGAGAAGATGATGGTTTGGTCCAATATGCTATGAAAATATGAAATGAATGAGCGCTATGAAAATATGCCAGATTTTGAAAATTTCAACTCTTACCTTGAACTCCTCGCCGGAGAAGTTCTTTATTAGAGGAGAAGGTGTGTCCACCGCTGTCAACGTATTGATGGTCACCAAAACCTTATAACTATAAAGCGAAGCATAAGCAGTGCCATTTGCCGGTAATGAGAAGCCGTTTATTAGTATGACCTTTGCAGGCGTACCAACAAACATCTACTAACCATTACCTTGAATATTGGACATCGATGATGTGCCCATGAAAAAGAACGACCGTGATGCTGTGCTGATGAAGATGTTGATTATTATTTGCAAAAAATACAAAAAAAATGTTCTCTTTTCTTGATCTTATCGCCTGATAAGCTCCTGGAGTAGTATTGTGCATGGTCCGCGGCGTCATCCGCGTTGCGAAGTCCCTCAAACTTGAGGATTTATAAGTACTTATAAATCCTTATAAGTCTTGTTTTCTACACGCACTTTTTAAAGAAGAATTGAGAAACTGTAATAACAACTCTTGGCAAATATAGTGAGCTTTAAGGGTAAAAGGAGGCTTCTTCCTGCACAACGATAACATTTGTCAATAATATTCCATCCAACCTTGAATGTAGACCTGCTGGACTGGACAATTGTCCAGGTCTCTATTGTCTACCTGTCCATCCATTGTGCTTCTGGGAGAGATGTCTCAATTTCCTCTTCTTTATTATATAAATCGCTCCATTGTGCTCTCCTCCAATTCAATCCGGGTGAATCCATCCAGCCTTCGAGGAGAATGATCTGACTTTTCAACCCTCACAATAATAAGTAAATTTAACGATTTATGACTGTCACCACCTACCAGGACGCGTGTGGAGGTCACGAATCGTCTCTGGCGTTCGTACCTCACCTAAACATTTCTTTAATCGTGAGAGTCTTCATTTTCAAAAAAATTGTTTCATCTAAAAAAAAGTTTCATTTTTGAAAAAAATAGTTCAACTTTCAATATCTCGGACAGAAATTCAACCACACTCTTAGGCAACTGGTATTGAATTATTGCGAATTATTACCGGACGGAGTACATATATGACTCTACCGGCATCGGTAATCCATCCATCGTTACGGCGCAGTAATGTGGTGGTAATGAAATCGTTACCTCTCAGAATCAAACCATAACCAACCCGGTAGGAAATTATTACCAAATCAATATCAGTACGGAGTACATATGTGACTCTACCGGATGCTTTACAGTGCAGGCTTCGGTAAAAATAGGGTTCTTTCCACATGGGGTCTTCATTTATAAAAAATTGTTTAATTTTCGAAAAATTTTCTCCTCCAGAAATTCAACCTGGTCAAAATATGTAGGGTGAAAAATCGATTAATAAGGATGTTATGCTGGATGAAGATGGCATAAAGGTATGACGTGACAAGCATGACAGGTGATAATGAGAGTAATCATTTAATATTTCTCTTGTAATAAATGAATTACGATGACAGTTGGCAACACTTCGCCTTCGTCAAACATTCTATGCAAATGAAAGTTCCAAAACAAAGGCAGAAATGCGTGCATACGTAAAGACCACACAAAAACGGAATGGTCAAAAGTTGCATCTTTTTCTCGCTCTGAGATGATGTTGTTGATCTATTTTTTTCTAAAATTTCACAATCGAGGTGCAGTCCAGCTAGTTACTTAATTGTTAATGAAGCACTTTAATTATACCCCAATTAAAGCATTTTTCCATCCTTGGAGCCATCCGTCATCGCATGTCCAGTCCACTTCACAATGCGATAAATTATTATTCCTCGGACGAGCAGGAGGGTGTAGTCGTTCGAATTTCAAAATACAAAATGGATGAGTTCTGCTTTGTTTTAAACTGTGAACACGGAATGGGCTGGATTATTGCGGGCGAGAGTAATCTGTTAGAAAGGGGTTGGAATTTCGGTTCTCTCTAAATCTCTAAATCCATATACGCATTTAAATAGGTGCGTGGTTAACAAACCAGAGTGAGTAAGCACCCGTTATATTAATTATTATTATGACCAGGCTCATTCCTTTCTTTCCGTACATGAATAAATACACGCCTCGCGACGACTGGATAAAATAATTACCAAAAACCAACGCAAACAAACGTGGGACCGAACGAACCCATTATTTTAATCATGATACGATTTAGTATTTCATGATTCTGTGGGGTGTTACTGCGAGAAATCATTCAGAACGGAGAACAGTCAGAGTCATAATATTGTTCCATCGATTAAGTATCATTTCACTGCGCAAACAATGTTATGGTTAGCGTCAGTAATTACTATAATGTTAAAAATCTGGCAGAATCAGATATACATTACTGGTATTGATTTAGTAATATGTATTTAACTTTCTGCGGGATTGGTAAGAGTTTGTTTCTTAGGATTAGCAGTGGCAATTTTTCATTACCACATTATTAAATGGTAATCCTCGTTATTTATTACCGGGATGGTAGAGTCATTTGGGTATGTACACCGGTTATAAATGATTTAATACCAGTTTTCTAAGAGTGTAATGATCAGAGTGCGGACATGTATTTACACTAAAGAACTATTTGCGAAATACGTACGAAAAAAAACATACAAATATAAAATTTTCGTACAATTTTTATTTCTGAATATAATGCTGTGTTTTTGCGATCGAATATCTTTGAGTAATTAAATCAAGTCAAGTCTAGTAATCCTTTATTATTATGAACAAATATCAGCTAATGGCCCTCCTCAGACACATGAAAAAATCGTCGCTTCGAATTTCGCTTTGTTTTTCGCTTATCGATATCATGGCCAAAATTATGAAATTTGCAAAATTTTGTTGAGACTTCAGCTAAGCGACCTTAACCCCACTTCTGAGTTGAGTTTCTGGTCGCTTACCCCAGAGCTCGCTTATCAGAAAGTAAGCGAAAAACTAAGCGAAATTCGAAGCGACGATTTTTTCGTGTGTCTGAGGAGGCCTAATATAAACTGGGTTAAATTCCGCCTCGTGTGGTTGAAATATCTGTATTTACAGCATATATATTTTAGGAAAAATATCTAAAATAAAT